CAGATGACACACATGGGCCAGCACACGACCAGCTCCCACCTCAGCCTCTGCCCCGTCCCTCTCCCAGTTTACTCACAGATGTACAAGAACCCCTTCTACAATTGACAATGGAGAAGGAAACAGCTTCAATTTGTTTTCGGACAAGTCAGCCAGCTCCATGAGTGAATCCGAACATAAATGGTGGCTGTGCCATAGCAACTCTCAGGAGCAGCCGGTCGGGGAAACCGGCTAACAGACACTAAGTAGTACATCTTGCCATCTACCTTGTGCAGACAATAAGGGACTCAAGCACAAATATATACAGACTGCTCAACCGTGGCTAATGGCCTGATCATTCAACTCTGGTCCTAGCGGATAAAGAACTAGGAGATCAGATCACATATTTAGGGTGGGCATATGTGACTAGCACATGGGGCAGCATGAAGTGCATGTTAATGCCTACTAGACAGAAGTCATACTAAACAGTAAAATAGTCATCTTTCAGGGGAAAGGATTGGCCTTCTCACATAACTGCATACAGTGGAGTCTCCACAATGAGCATATGACTGAGCAGCCATGCTTACAGAGACAGGGAAGATGGAAGTGCCCAACACTTTTCAAGTCAGTCTAGCAATATTGCCTCTCCCAGCCAGAAGTCAGTGCTGAAGTCCTCTTACAGGACAGGTCGAAGAAGCCAAGTGGGTACTTCATCTTGTCTTACATATGTTGGCAGTTTCATTCCACGGCTGGATATCTAGCTGAAGGATGGTTTTGATGCTTTCACCAGTGGAGTTTGAGGCAGCATCACTAACAAGGGCGGTCAGATGTGTGATTCGTGTGCCTAGAGTCCCACAGCAATTGTGTGAAGATCTGCGCCGATTTGGGAAAACCTTGGCAAGGACCTAGAATCGTAGGTTTCCTTGGTCATGTTACAAACCACAAAGTGTACACGCACCAACCTGAGATGCCATCGAAATTACTTCCTTAAGGTATAGTTGACGCAACAGCTCAGAGCCAACACCCTCCAGTGGTAAAGTGCTCTTTTCCAGGCTGCCTATGCACACTGAGTCAGATATTTCTGAAAGGTATTGTTACTATAACAAAAAGAGGCCATGGCTTTATACACCTCTACTCTTAGAGGTCTGTTGTGATTCAGATCCCCGCTACTCTGGGTTCCCAAGTATTAATGCCCTTATCCCCGCCCCACCCCCAGGAGCATGCACTCATATCAGGGGTCACAGCAAGTTTCCTTTCCTTTCCTTTCCTTTCCTTTCCTTTCCTTTCCTTTCCTTTCCTTTTCTTTTCTTTTTCTTTTTCTTTCTAATTCAGTACTACCTTCCCTGCCCCTCTTTAGGTCAAATCCCCATCCCTGTTTTCCTCCTTTCTGGCTTCATAGCACCGACTGCCCTCTCTAGAGCCCCTTCTCCATGACTTCCCTCACTGTCTCTTTCTATTGTTCTGGCCTTTGCAGTGACTTCAGGTTGTATATTCAAATCTAAGGATTTGGATCCACCAATAAGAAAGAACGTGTGGTGTTTGTCTTTCTGTGTGTGTGTGTTAGCTCACTCAATATTTTCTAGTTCCATCCATTTGTTGGTGCCTTTCACAATTTTATTTTTCTTTACAGCTGAATAGAATATCATCATACATATGTACCACATTTTTATTACTGAATCACCAGTTGAAGAATGTCATATGCCGAGGAGCGGTATAGCTGGGTCATATGATAGATATGGTTTTAACTCTCTGAGAATTTTCCACACTGATTCCCACAGTGGTGTCAGCCTGCCATCCCCCCGCCAACAGTCAGTGGGATTTCCCCCTTCCCTCCATCCTTGCTGTTTTCTTAGTTATTTTGACGGATGTAAGATGAAATCTTAAGTAGTTTTTAATTAGCATTTTTCTGCTTGCTAAGGGTATTGTAGTTTTTAAAAGTTTTTTTTTTTAAAAAAAATATATTGTTGTTCAAATCCACGGACTGCTTATTAGTTGGGTGATTTGCTATCTTGGTGTTCAATTTTACTTAGTTTCTTGTATATTATGAACATTAATCTTCTGACAAATACAGAGCTGGCAAATATTTTCTCCCATTCTGTAGGCTGCCTTTATGTCAATCAACAATCTCCTTCAAGACACAGAAGCTTTTTGATTTCATAAAGTCTCACTTCTTGATTATTGTTCTTATTTCCTGGATGATCAGAATCCTACTCCAGAGTCTGCACTTGAACTTAGACCCTGAAGTGTGCTGCCAGCTCTCTCTTCTAGACGTTTCAAAGTCTAGAATTGAACACTGAAATATTTGATCTGTCTGGAGTTGGTTTTTTGCAGGGTGATATATATGAGTCTAACTTTATCATGCCATTTATCAGGGATGCTGAATTTCCCCAGAGATTAATTTTGGTATTTTTGTCCAATATAAGATGACTGTAATCATCTGCACTCATGTTTGGATCTTTTTTTTGTTTCATTGATCTGCATGTGTGTATTTGTAACCATACCATGCTGCTTTTCTTACTATAGCTCCATAATATACTTGAAATCTGTTCATTTCTTCCCCATTGTTTTCGTTCAGAATTACTGTGTTTATCTTGGTATCTTTTGTGCTTTGATGTAAATTTTTGTATTTTTTTTCTGTGAAGAATATCATGGACTTTTTATTGAGATTGATGTAATTACTTTTGGTAGAATGGTCATTTTCACAATATTAATTCTACAAAACTGTGAACATCAGAGGGCTTTCTATCTTCTATTGTCATTCTCAGTTTCTTTCTTCAGAGACTTAGGGTCTCACTGTAGAGGTTGTCACTGCCTTGATTAGCTTTATTCCACATTTTCTCTAGACTATTTTGAATCAAGTAATGTTTCCACAATCTGCTTCTCAGCACGCTTGTACGTGGTATATAGAAAAGCTATTGAATTTCATGAGGATTTTGTACCCCACCACTTGCTGAAATTGGTGGTCATTTCGAAAAAAAAAGTTCTTTTAATGGGATTTTTGGGATCTCATCTCTATAGTATGTCATCTGCAAATAGGGATAATTTGACTTCCTACTTTCTTATTTGTTCCCCTTTAGTTTCTTTCTCTTGTTCTATTTCTCCAGCTAGTGCTATAACACTGTATTGAAAACCAGTGAGGACAGTGAATAGCCCTGCCTTATTCTGATTTTAGTCGGATTACTTCAATTTTTTTCTCCATTTCGGATAATGTTGGCCCTGACTTTGTCATATATAGCTTTTATTATATTAAAGCATGTTTCCTTCATTCCCATTCTCTCTAAGACTTTTGTCATGAACACATGCTGCATTTTCTCAAAGGTCTTTTCTGCATTTATTGAGATGTTCATGTAAGTTTTCAGTGATGTTGGTGTGCAGCTTTCTTTTATTGTTTTATCCTTAGGTGATCTTGGCAAAGTGATGCTGGGTTAGGAGCAGGGATTTGGAACCAAAGAAAATAATCTAAGACTTGTTGGCTGCAGTTCTTTGAAGGTCTGGTAGAATTCTGCTGTGAGTTCCTTTGCAGTTGGTGCTGTTGCCATAAAGCTTTTTCTTACTGTGTCAACCCCATTGGGTGTGAGTCTGCTTACGTGTTGATACTCTCTTCATCTAACTTTGGTGGTGTGGATAAATCTAGAAATTTGTCCATTTTTTTCTTCTAGGGATTCTTCTAGGAATATGGAGCATATTCCATTATATTGTTCTTAGTTTCCAGCTGTCTGTGTGAGGGTTCCTTATTCATCTATGAATCTGGTCTCCTCTTTCTTCCTTTGGTTTATTGGGTTACAGGCCCACTAATTTTATTTTTATTTTTAAAGACTCAGCCCTTGGGTTCACTGATTCTGCATTGTCTTCTTCACTTCTATATCACCAAGTGCCACCTCTCTCCAGGCAGTTCCCAGCGACTCCCAGACAATGGTTAAGCACAGTGGCAGGGCTGAGTGGTACCTGGCATGGCACGCCTAGCTCAGAACTCCAGAAGCCTGTGTGCTTTGTTCCAGGGAATCTCATCAGCCTGTTTGGGGTTTATTCTCAAATTATTGATTAAGAATTTTATTCATGCATGTAATATGGTTTAATCCATTCTCTTCCCCTGAATTCCTCCCCCAGCCCCTATCACCACTTTTCCCTCCCAACTTCGTGTATTCTTAAAGCCACTTAGTTCACTTCATGCTGCCTGCACGTGCATGGTGCAGGACCATCTGAAGCACGGTAGCTTCTCAGTGAACACATGTCTGAGACTATGACTCATCCTCTACTTACGGCCACCAATTGGCAGTAGCTTTTCAAATCAAAATGCTTAAGACTTTGTGGGACTAAAACAACAGCTTGAGCTTTTTCTATCCAATTCCCCTTAATTTTTTTCTCCTTCACAGATGACAGATGCGCATGACAATCTGAACCTCACTGTCACATTCGACAGATATCAAATTATCAATCATCAATGCATCTTTGTTTTTCTATTTGTCTTTGTTTAGGTATGTGCATGTGTACCTGATTGTCTGTATGTGTCATATGTGTGCAGTGCCCTCAGAAGCCAAAAGAGGGCATCAGATCCCCCTAAATTGGAATTACAGATGGCAATCAGCCACCAGTGTGGGTGCTGAGAATGAAACTCAGATTCTTAGCAAGAGAAAGCTATGTTCTTAGTCACTGAGCCATTGCTCCATCCTCCCTCAAGACAGGTTTTTAACTTTTAATCCTGTCTTCCTGTTCTTTTCCAAGAGAACATAACCATCATGGAAAGGGAGTCAGAAAGTGCTGTTGAGAAAGGCAAGCGTGGAGCCATGGCTAACATACTGAAGACAGACTGCTTCACTGTTTCTGTTTGGAGGGTTCTAGGAGCCGTGCAACAGCCTCGGAGCTTTGTGTATTTGCTTCACTGCTGCGAAATTGTGTTGTGCTTGAGGTAGAAAACAAAAAGTTCTAAAACTAAAAAGGAGTTGCGGTTGATGGTTTCAAAGAGAATGGAGAAGTCAAAAACTGTGGTGTTATATTCTGTGTTTTGTTTTGTTTTGTTTTTTCAGATATGTTGGGCAGAGAAGAGTCAAGCTAGGGGAAGCAGCTGGGGACAGGAAAACAATGAAGTTGCTACTCTACAGGTGATGAGGAAAGACATTCAGTCTGCTAACAAGAAGTGTGATCGAGGCTGCACACTTTCCCACAGAGATGTATTTAAGACATCTGTGTCCAAGCCAGTCTAGTCCCCAGGAAAAGGGGACTTGAAACAAGATCTTGGTTTGGTGTTTGCGATGTTTATGAACACAACCTGAGCTGCGTTAGTAAGGCTCCTTAGGAAGGCAATTTCTAGCCACAGGGAAGGCACGCCAACAACATCTTTGTTTATAATTGTCCAAGCAAAGGATAAAGGCACGAGATATTCTCCTAAGTGTCAATTCAATTCCAGAAGAATGCCTCACCATAGTGAAGTAACTATTTATCTTTAAGATTGTTTGGAGGATGTCGAGGGGAAAATACTGTTGACTGAGCCAACAGTGGGAAGAAGAGATAAGAGAGACTATTGGCAAAACTCAGGCCAGGATATAAACGTGTGCCTGCTCACACCCAGACGTATGATGCTCTCCATTAATTTAGGGATTTGCAAAGCAAATGGGCCAGATGTCATCAATAATAAACTTGTATGTTCTGGTCTGGTCTGCACTCACAGCCCCAGTAGGAATGAATACATATAAACAAAATATAACAGCACACATAAGATACAAAACAAATCTAATTGCTAATATTGTTGCATTTGTAGTTAAATTTTCTATTACAGTTTTCACAAGTTAAATTTTCTATTACAGTTTTCACAAATTGAATTTTCCAATGAGACAAATTCTGCCTCACTGTGTCTTGTGATCATCATTTTTGTGGGTTGTGCCTCAACTGTTGCTAGGCTAAAATTCCCTGGCCAAAGCAGCCTAGGGAAGGAAGAGTTGATTCTGGTTCACAGTTCCAGGTTGTAGCTCATCATGGCAGGAAAGTTGCAGTGGACGAGCTGGAGTGAGCTTGGACCACTGTCAGAAAGTGAGGAAGGCTAGTGTTCTGAGTACTTGGCCCCATTTCTCCACATCTATCAGTTCAGGATCACAGTTAGCTATGGAACGGCCCCACCCACAGCGGGAACCTTCTCACCTCAGATAACACGTTCTAGATGATTCCCCACAGATATACTGAGAAGGCCATCTCTCTGGCACTTCTAGGTTCTGTATGTTGACAGGGAACACTAGCCATCAGAAGCTGAGAGAAGTTGAAATACCCAGAATCCAGAATGAACACCAAGAGGTGAGGTTTTTGCTGGATGATATAGCCCTGTAAGCTACCCTGCCTCTCCGGAATGTGTATCCCACAGTGCTGATTATGAAGAAAATGGAAAAAGTGTACTCAGAGCTATTGTCAGGTTCCTTGCATACAGTAGGCACTTAATAGAGAGCTAGTAGTGGTTATGGAAGTGAGGCACTGTGGCAGTCATGGCTTACTGCAGTAGGAAACACGCCAGAAACAGGAATCGAAATGCAACATAGCCAGGAATTCTTATCAGAAACTTGGATAATACATAAAATTAATCCATTTGTCACAGAAATCATTACAAACTGGTTATTTTATTTAACTTCGATCCCACCTGAAATCATCAATGCCATCCCAGTCTCCTGAGAAAGGCCCTGCAGCTGTTTTCAGCAGTTCAGTCGTGGTCTGTCTGTCGTACCCCAATGGCTGGGAGACACACAGAGCAAGATCAAAACACTTTCTGTAAACCGTACATTTGTTTGGCATTTTGTCATTTAAATGTTTTTATTTCTACATTTTACCTTTTCTTTCTATCAAAGGCAACCCAAATTCCCAGCATTCAGAAGGTGAAGGCTAAAGACCATGAGCTAAAAACCCACCTACTACATATAGAGACTACATATAGAGAGGGTCTGCCTCAAACAAACAAAACCAAGGGAAGCATCTTCTTCATCTCCATATCTTTGTTCTTAGAAGCATATATATACTGCTATACATTTATAGGGCTCATACTATAGACATACATATATTTGTCTTTACTCATTTTATGGTACACAGTGATAATACTTCTAAGTAAATAAATGTAGACATGACTGTTTAATAGCTGTATAGTATATCATGATATGGACTTATTTCCATTTATTTAACCTATCCCTGATGACAAGGATTGAGAGTTTTAAGATATTTTTTCCCTATAAACATACTTTAAGAAACATTGTTTCACTCTTTTTCTAACCCCAGTTCTAATTTATAATAGCCTTATATAGGGATGTTTGTTCCTATTAAGAGACAAGGACTATGAAAAAATAGCTGAGTCAATGGCCATGTGTTCTTTTAAAGCTGATGATTTTTTCTAGAACAGCCTTCCTGATAGCTTTGCAGATTATACCGTTCCCTCCACAACCCCGCCAGCCACCATCCCCTCCATCCCCGTGCCTATTAATCATCAAGTTCTCTTTAATTTACCATTAACACCTGTGACCTGGAGCCTGGCTCCCTTGAGCATGCTTCTGTCTTGTTCCTGGCATTCGGGGGCTTTTCTGGCCCCAGCAGCTGTTGAAATGCAGCCCAGTGTGTGTATTTCTCTCTGACTGCTGCCTCAACATGTGAAAGCCACCATTCAAGTTCCCTGTTCTACGCTCAGCTGCCCTTTCCCTGAAGAGAGATGGCCTTTTGCGTCATTTTTCTGTGTGCAACCTGAGCTCCTAGTACAAAAGAGATCTAAGAGATTATGCCTTCCTCTTCTCTCTCTCTCTCTCTCTCTCTCTCTCTCTCTCTGTCTGTCTCTCTTTATCTCTCTCTGTCTCTCTCTGTCTCTGTCTCTCTCTGTCTCTCTCTGTCTCTCTCTGTCTCTCTCTCTCTCTCTCTCTGTGTGTGTGTGTGTGTGTGTGTGTGTGTGTGTGTGTGTGAAAGAGAGAGAGAGAGAGAGAGAGAGAGAGAGAGAGAGAGATTGGGAACTGAACTCAGACTTCATGCATGCTAGGAAGCCAGGCAAGTTCTCTGCCACCAAATTACCACCAAGTTACACTCTCCAGTCTTTTTTTTTTCCTTCCTATTTTCTGTCTTCCTTTATGTTCTTTTATGTTTTCCAGAGGGTTCTCTACTTGAAAGGCTGTACTAAATCATCATCCCAAAGCAAGAAGTGAAAACAACACAGACTTAGCATGATCCTTTTTCACTAACAGCTTGTGTTCTTGGAAGAATCCCCCTGGGTCATTGCTTTCCTTAGAGCTCCAAGCTCTCAGTCCATGGCTGTCCAGGAGTTTGAATTAGCACCCTGCACTTGTGACTACCAAACGTCATTTGCCCGCACATGTGTTCAAGGGCATTTGCTTGTATTCATTACCTCTAGTGGGAAATTTTATCGCTGACTTTTAACAATGGTGCCGTTACTATTGTCACCATCATTATTATAACACAGAGTTACTTTATGGTGTAAAGCTACCCTCAGACTCGCAATCCTCCGGCCTTAATGTGGTGAACTTTTGTTTGTGCTGTAACAAATAAAGCTTGCCTGAAGATCAGAGTGCAGAGCAAGCCACTAGTTAGTCATAGAGGCCAGGCAGTGGTGGCACACACCTTTAATCCCAGCACTTGGGAGTCAGGGGCAGAGAGATCTCTGTGAGTTCAAGATCACCCTGGGCCTCACAAGGTTGACTCAGCTTAAAAAGAGAAACAGAGTCAGGCAGTGATGATTTACACCTTTTAACCCCAGTACTTGGGAGTCACATGCCTTAAATCTCAGCACTTGAGAGGTGGGGGCAGGAGGGGATAGGCTGGGTGGAAAGAGGAACATAAGGCAGGAGGAGACAGGAGCTTAAGGCATTTCAGTCTAAGGTTTCGTAGAGACGGTGTTCAGTCTGAGGACTTGTAGAGATGGGATAGCCCATTTGATCTGAGGATTTTGTAAGGTAAGACCTAGTTTCTGACCGCTCTGCTTCTCTGATCTTTCAGCTTTCGCCCCCTAATATCTGACTATGGTTTTGTTTATTATTAAGACCAATCAGAAATCGCACTACACCTTGGCCCTTCCAGAGCTGGGATCAGAGGAATGTGCCACCACGGTCAATTACACATACATCACGTGATCCTGCCACTCTAATCAGTACTTGGTCAGCCCTATAGAACCCAGAGAAACCTAGTGTTTTTCAAAAGAGGAAATCTAGTGTTTTTCTAAGGCTAAAGGGGAAATGCAGTCATTTGAATGATTCTCGTCTCTCCTTCCAAAAGTCTGTCTTTTCTTCCTTTTTCAGAAAAGAGGATGGAAAGAACTAAAATGGAGAATTTCAGAGCAGGGTGCCAGCTACTTCCTGTTTCCTAGCTTCTATGACACGGGGCGCAGAGAGTGAAATGAATGTGAACCTAAAATAGGTCTTCTTGCTTTGCAATCTGTCTTTGACCTTGAATTATTTATGATTCTTGGAACAAGAGGGATCAAAATGATTGACATGATAAGAACCAAAAGGTTTTACTTCCACAGAAAGGTATTTTTCAAAAAATTGCTATGGATGAGCTGACCCAGCTGGGACAGGGAGCCTGGGTATAATTTCCTTTCTCCTCACGCCATGTTTTTGACCAGGCAGGCAGTGAATGGCTCTGTATGTGACAGACCGCTGGGACAGCACACAAGACAGTGATCTGCCTCAGACAGAACAGAATTGACAAACTATCACCTTGTAGAAATATAAGTACCAGAAACACAGTTGGAATTTTGATGGGTAATAATTATTAAATCTGAATAATTAAGCTTATCTATTCTTAGAGATTATCTGACCCAATAATTATTACCCAGAAAACTTAAGCATGTGTTTGAGATCCACACTTTATCATCAAAGATGAGCCTGTCAATTCCATCCCATTAGCTAGGCGTTTGTTACCGTCAAATGTTACTATGGATGAAGTGTGCTTCCCAGTTGGCAACCAAATACACTTAGAAGTTGTATGGATCATAAACTATCAAAATAACTTGTTACTTATATGCAGAACACCTAGCAAGCTGGCTTTTAAAGCCAACTAAATAATATTTCATTAATGCTCATGGTAGCAAATTCTCTAAGAGAAAACCAAATGATGTAAGCAGCGGTCCCACTGATTGTGCACACACAAAGTCGAGTGATTCACCTTCAGAATTCTGCTTAATCCATTATTCATCATGGTTCTGAGGAGCTGCAGGTGGAAGAGGCAAGTCCGCTGCCTGGCTCCCAGAGCTGTTGAGGATAGAGGTGGGATTTAAACCCAGATCTTCTAGAATCCTCTTCTTAGGCTCTGAACATGAGATGCATGTTCCAGTAAGAGAACTCACCGAAGTTCCAGGGACGGCCACACTGGTATCACTACTAGGGGTGAAAGCAAAGCAGTGACCGATACTCTCAAGATGTGTGTAAAGCAGAATTCTAAAGTCCAGGGGACTTTTAAAATAAATCAATATTTTAGTGCTTTTTTTTTGTATGTGAGAGATAATTAAAATTGTGTTTCTCAACTCCCCAGGGACAACTTGTTTTTATTCTATTTATTCATTTTCTTACTGCCTCCAGGCAACTTTCAAAGATGGCTCGGAAGACCTCCAAGGTGGGGTGGAGACAGATAAAGCAGCTGAGCTGAGGCAGATGCCCTAGGATAACCTGGCGCTGGAGAGGTGATGTCACATACGGCTGTGGCAGCATCTGTCTTAATTCACCCTCTTCAGCCATCCAGCCAGGTGGCCCA